TTCAGCAGCCATTTATTAAACACTAAAACTAATATGGCAATGTACCAAAAATCTAGATTTTAATCTAAAGTGCTGCAAGCTAATAATGCAATTAAGATACTAATTTACCTACTGTATTTTTTATATATTATTCCATATATATAATTTTTTAAATCACTAGAGCAACTTTTAAACAATCAACTTGAGTTACCAATTTTATACTGGTTCTATGAAAGTACCTGCTTAACCACTTTGATTGCCAAAGGAGGAAAAATATCTGAAGTGACCCAAATATATTTAACACCACATCATAAAAAAAGATTTCTCTGAAAATGTGGAAGGAAAAAGATCCAGAAAAAAAATCCTTATTGTTCCACCAGCTGATATAAAGCCTACTGTTGTAAGTCATTTCTAAAGCATGCTGCCTCCCATTGCCTAAGAATGCCACTCTTCTGCTTCCCCTGCTTCTGCCAACCGCTCAAGCTCACAGGATCTCTTCTCGCCCACTGGGAAGCTGGGCACCATCCGAGAACATCACAGGACCACATAGATTTATGGTATGAATGACAATCGGCTTGAACGCTCTTCATAAATTTGTTTCCCCCATCTCTTCTTGACCGCCTAAAAAAAGAATATTGACTGTTCTAAACCCTCTCCTCACTTAGGCCGGGTCTTCTGGTGAAATGAGGATGAAGGCACAGAGTGTGCCCTGGTATAGAAAACGAGAGAATATATTTAAACAATAACAAATAGTTAAGTGAGAACTGGAATTAAAGTAAAATACATTTACAGTAAGTTAGCACAGTTCTCCTGGTGAAAGCTACCCTAGGGTTTAGTAAACTTTTATACACATTGTTCCAGCTAATTTTATTCAATAAACTTTGCTTACTTTTTGGATCTTGGCACTCTAGAATGCTCTGTATGTGATCACAAATACAGATAAGGTATCAACTGAATTAGTGTGCAAAGAACATGTCTATAAATCAAAATATATTTTATATATAAGCAAGCTTATGTAAAGCAAACAAGCTTTTAGTTTAAACTTTCATTCTATGTTTACTCACCAAATTTCTTACTTATTAGCAGCTATTTTCTGAATAAAATTAAAATAGCAGGAATTTTTGTGGTAATTTGTGAATATTTGCCCTAAATAAAAGACAGTCCCTGTCTCCCACTACCTTTACCAGATGTTCTTATAAGAAATACAATCTTATTTTTTCTTAATTTGAGAGGAAAAGAATCACTTATAAAATGCCAATATCTCTCAAAAATTAGATTCAGAACTTGAATCACTTGTTTATTATGTGGGATAAGCTCATTATTAAAAACCTTCAAGAGCTTGAGAATGGAAAATAAATAGGATTACTGATAACTAACTTGGCTTTTCATAAGATTTGGTTTGATGTTAATAATAACTGCCTAAGTGTGAATTTTGCTGATGTTAAACAGGGCATTTTAACAATATAACATATATACAAAAGTTCCTAAGAGCTATTAACCAAAATGAATCTTACACCACGGCTGTACAACTTTCCAAATTTGCCCCTTGCAGGCGTTACTTCGGGCCAACTCTATCTTGTTGTTGTTTAACCTTGACACAGCACTGGGGTAGGCAGTGGGGGCCCTGCTGGATCTTGTTACTTTATTATTTGACTGGGCTCTCCTTTAGACCATCAACTATAAAACAGAAAAGGAAGAGCAACTGAAATGTGCAACCGTTGTAACCAAGAAGGTGAATCCTCCCCGAGTCCTGTATGTTTTATGTGGTTTCAAGTAGGTACACAAAGTTACAAGGGAAAGGAAGTGAGGATGTGCAGATGGACCCAGAAAAACTAATGTCAAACTAACACTGGCCAGGTGTTTAATTTTCATGTGCAAAGGGCAACATTATCATAGTAAGGTAGAGTATGGGATAAAAATTTTACATAATCCAAAGTACCTTAAAATATATAATCCTTAGATTATTAAGGTTAACCACACCCTTTAAGTTTAATATATAACTGCTGATTGTGGTGAAGCTTTTCCAAATATATTTTTCCTCCAAGAAACACAGTGATAGTGAAAAAAAAATTAAAAAATCTGAGAATATATGTCTAGAGTTTCCTTATCTCCACCTTCTCAACATGTGTAATTCTGCCCCAAGATGTTAATAATTTCTTCAAATGTATAAATTATGTACCATTAAGCATCATTTTACAAATCACCATAATTAATAATTTTCTTGCCTATCAACCTAAAAAATTCTTTTAAACTAGCACTTTAAATAATATTAAATACACATTTCATCAAGTGTCTGAACCCATTCAATTAAAAAAAATCACAGAACCATAAATTCTATTCTTATAATCTTCCAATCTCAACTCCAAACTAAAAGGTTACACACAAATCAAACTAACTATAAATTAAAATTTTTTTGGTTTCAAATCCCCAGTTCCACATTTTGTGCTCTTTTCCTCCCAACTAGTATTTAATATTTTCAAAACTAAAACGTTACTTAAGATTGCTTCAGTGCCTATAGGGAAACTTAGTTATGTGTTTGAAGTTTTAATAACAGGCGTGACTCACTTTTATAACCGGTGTGTTACTGAAAACCTGTGGATAAATTACTAAGGTAGTCTACTGTTATTTAAAGGAACTTCACAAGGAATTCTGAGTAAGATGCCCTGTTACAATGCATGTAAACATAACATTATTTATATACTCAGATTTTCCATGTCATATTTTCTTAAAATGAGACATACTGGTAATGTGATATCTAGCTTTCCAAATTCTACCCTAAGGTTGTTTTTAAGCGAAGATAATTTACTTCATGACTTACTAGAAAAATAAAATATTAAAAAGACAAACCAGTGCTCCTCAGTGCTTGGCTTTTGCTCATTTTTTTAGGCAACAGCACTGAAAACTTTTCACACACATCACAGAAACTGTGCACGGGCTGTGATGCTCAATTTCACACAAAGCCATGCAAACAGGATGGGTGTTTCGAAGATTAGAGCGTTCAGGCTAATACGGTCCCTTTTCTCCCCCGCTCAATAGAAATAAATAAATAAATAAATAAACCACAGAAGGCAGTTAAGCACAGTGGTTAAAAGCTATGAAAATTAATTACCCTGTCTGAACCTACTAAGCAGTGATAAATTAAAATGTAAAGTCCAGGGCCTGGCATACAAATGCTCAATAAATGTTTGGCTCTTATGATTACGCATATTAATAATTCAATATCAGTTCCTACTTCAGCTGCTTTCTTTAAATACGAAACCTTACCCCTATGTTCCACAACTTCAAAACTACCCCACTCACTAACATATGCTGGAGATACCGGAAAACCTCTCACCTTGAAAATTTTTTAGACTTTTCCAGATCTAAAAGATTAAGGTGACTAAATATTTAGATATGGAAAAGTTAGTCTTCATCTGAATAATGTTTTAATGAAATGCTCAAATCTGTGAATGTTCTCTGAAATGTATCAATATATTGATCATTTTCATAGCATTTAGCAAATCCATATCCTATAGGTTTTTCATTAGGAGGATTTGCTAGACTGACACATACCTTTAAGACATGAGTCATCCTTCCAGAGTTGGGGAAACTGATGGAAAGATGGCTAAATGATTCAGCAGCTGCAGCAAAATGAGCTGGTCATGAATTTATAATTTCCACTTCTGTTAGGTGCCCCGGCCATGGTGGCCTCTCTCATCCTGGACTGCATATGTAACACATGATACCATAATCAACACATTTTGTTAAAATTCCCTCAGGAAAGGAATGGTGTTTCCCCCTCAGACAGCTTCTAGAAGCAACGTTATGCAATTTTATGAGACAAGGTACACAAGGCTGGATAGCCCTTATGGTGCCCAGCTGTAAGCTTCATCAAGCTTTGCTTATACAGATAACAGGACTAGAGTCACTTCTAACACTGGTGCCATTTTCTCAGCTACACAAGGCAGACACTGGGAAAAGCCTGAAGCAAAAGAAAACCAGAAAATGGGCAAAGGAAACCAGATGGGAAATGCGTGTGGTTATACCTGTGTCTTCCACGCCAACTCTGAGCTTTACCAACAAACATCACAACAGATCCGAAGCAGGTCAACAGACAATCTATTTTGATGAGGTCTTATTTCTAGGGAGCTTCACTACCCAAAGCAGGTGAAGGCCTTTTTCTAAGCATCCCCATCTGCCCTTCTATACCAAAAGACTTACTATGTTAATCGAATGAAACATTTCAGAAACATATAGATTCCAAACTACATTAAAGCCTTTTTCCATCAAATAACCAATATGAAAAAAAAATTATCAATTAAATGTTTTCATCTAAAACTGCACCTCAAATGCTGAGAAAGCACATCCATTTTGTGACCACGACACAGTCACTCCACCCAGCAGTTTCTGAGAATGGGACAAAGAAGTGTGCCAGGATGTGTAAAATGAAATCGCCATCATCCATGCAGTGCAATGTCCTCACTCAACAGCCTGAATTCCTTTCAGTTTGGTGTGGTTACATACAACACACAAAATCTCAGCAACAACACTGAAAAAGATGACACTATTTTAAAACAATCCAAAATGTATTTGGGAAACAACTAGGGTGACAAGTTTGACCTTCCATGAATCCGCCTTTTTTTTTTTGGTTATGACTGTGCAACCCCTGATTTCCTCTAACTTGGGGGGGGGGGGCGTGTGGAGAAAGAAAAAAAGAGGTGAACAGCACCTAATCCAGAACGTTCAATTTCTCCCTATTTCATAGTGTTTATATACACACACACACACACACACATACGTGTATACATTTTTTTCTCCACCAAGACCTTGGAGGTAAAGAGGAGGAAAAAAAATGGCCAGGAGACAAGGTTTCAGGGTTGACCCAGAAGGACACCTCCACGGCTGGAGATTTCCAGCTCAGGGGCAGCCCAGCTGGGAGTTCTGAAGGCTGCAGCATCACCGACAGCGAGCTCCGGCCGCGCCGCTGGCATACACGGCGGCTCTGCCGTGCGCATGTCCCACTTATATAAAGAGATGCTTACAGTCCAGGTGCTTTTTCTTGGGGCCCATCACTTCATGAGTGGTGGCTTTGCAGACCGCTCTCGCTACAGCGGAGCCTGTGACGCTGTACTGAGCGGCGGCGATCCGATCCGTGAGCGTTTGGCCCGACATCTTCTCCGGCAGTCTCTACCGCCTCCTCTTCTGCGGGAAAGAAGGGGACATGGTCCTGCTTTAACCCGCAGCCCCTACCCTCCGAGCGCCCAGGCCTTGCCTCCTCCAGCCGCACGGCGGCTCTCTTTCTCCTCCATCCCCGCCCTGGTACCACTTCCCGGAGCCAGCAATACGCTAAGCCCCGTCATGCGATTCGGTCTAGGGGGTCTTGAGCCAGCGTAGGTCCATCACGGAAGCCCTGCGCGGGCTCCAGTCCCAGCATCCTGACACCATCCCCGTCCCACCCCTCCGTCGCCCCCCTCAGTCCTTCGGCGCCCCCAGTCAATCAGCACTTTGCCTGCAACTTGATCCTGGGGTGCGTGACCAGACCCGGTGTGCGTCGGGGTTACTCCCTGGGCGCCGCGCCCACCGGGTGCCCACCTCTCGCCTCCCCGCCGCAGCGTCTCCTCCTAGCAGCCCGCAGACTTCTGAGAATGAATCGGTACCCAAGCCCCGGCCGCTTCCCTCCGCCTCCTCGCGCCGCTGCAGCAATGGGCTCGTCCTCCGCGGTCGCGGTGGAGATTATCCTAGCGTTGCGCCATGTTATGCCCTCGCCTCCCCTTCCTTCCTCGCCGCCGCCTCCAAAGCCCAGCCGAGGCCCTCCGCCTGGGCCCCCTCCCTCGCCCACGAGTCCCCGCCGCAGGGGCCGCTCGGGGCTCTGCGGAGGCGCCGGGGTCTCCGAGCGCCTCGCCCTTCCTGGCGGTGGAGCAGAGACGGGCGGACAGCCCAGCCCAGCCCCCGCCCGCCCCCGGGCGCGCCGCGGAGCTGTCACCCGGCCGCTGCCCTTCTCCGCGCCCTAGGATTATCCTCTCCGGATCCCCGGCGGCCCTGGCACGGGGGAGGGGGCCGACAGGGGCCGCGGGTACTCACCCCGCCCCAGGACGGCGCCGCCCGCCGCAGGATGAGCGGAGCCTGGGCCGCCGCGGGAAGCCGCGCGGGTGGGTGTGTGCGGCCGCGCGCGGACCCGGTGCCCCGGGGCGCGATGCCTCCAGCCCTGGGCCGGCCCCCGCCCTCAGCGCCGCGGTCCCTGCGGCCGCCGCCCGTGGCCCCAGGAGCCAGCCCCCACCCGCCGCCGCCTCCTCCGCCAGCGCCGCCGCGTCTCTCCAGCACTCCGCGCTGCGTCCCCATCCCCGCCCCCACCTCAGCTGTGGCTGCTCCACGAGTCAGGTGACGGCGGCCGACAAACCCGGGCGAGCTCTCCGCCGAGCGCCTCGCGGCCCCCTCCCAGCTACTCACACATGCCGCCCCCCGGGGCCACGAGCTCACAGGCAAGGGGGGCCGCGCGCGAGCATCCCCGGCAAACGCGAGACGACAAGAAGGAGGCAGGGGGGCGACACCCACCCAGCCAAGCCCCCTCCACGAACACCCCAGCAGCCCCTCCAGCCGCTGGACCCGCACCCAGCACGCACTGCGTGCGCGCGCACCTCACACACCTGCCCGCCGACTGCGGGATGCGCCGGCCGCGGGGGCGGTGGCGCAGCCGGGAGGGTGGGCTTCTGAAGTTCTGCTCTGGGAAGGCCAAGGCTAGGGCGTCGTCGCGCTGCCTGGCAGTGCCCTGCCTCTTCTCCCTACTTGCTGTCTCTGACACGTCTGCCTGTCAAAGGCAGCCGTGGCCCACATGGGCAGGGCGATTTAAAATGTGAGGTTCTGTTTTCTTCTAGGAGTTTTATGGTTTCAGGTCTTATATTTAAGTCTTTAATTCATTTTGAGTTTATTTTTGTATATGAGGTAAGAAAGTGGTCCAGTTTCATTCTTTTGCATTTAGCTGTCCAATTTTCCAGCACCGTTTATTGAAGAGATCTTTTCCCTATTGTATATGCTTGCCTCCTTTGTCGGAGATCAATTGACTATAGGCGCCTGGGTTTGTTTCTGGGTTCTTTCTTCTTTTCCGTTGATCTATGTGTCTGTTTTTGTGCCAGTACCATAGTGTTTTGATTACTACAGCTTTCTAGTATACCTTGACATCAGGAAGCGTGTTACCTCCAGCTTCATTCTTCTTTCTCAAGATTGCTTTGGCTATTTGGGGTCTTTAGTGGCTCCATACGAATTTTAGAATTATTTGTTCTAGTTCTATGAAAAATGCCATAGGTAATTTGATAAGGGATTGCATTGAATTTGTAAATTGCTTCGGGTAATATGGACATTTTAATAATATTAATTCTTCCAGTTCATGATTGCGATATATCTTTCCATTTGTTTGAGTTGTCTTCAATTTCTTTCATTGGCGTTTTACAGTTATCAGAGTACAGATCTTTCACCTCCGTGGTTAAATTTATTCTTTGGTATTTTATTCTTTTTGATGCAATTGTAGATGGGATTATTTTGTTAATTTGTCTTTCTGATGGTTCATTATTAGTGTATAGAAATGCAGCAGATTTTTGTACATTACTTTTGTATCCTGCAACTTTACTGAATTCGTTTATTGGTTCTAACAGTTCTTTGGTGGAGCCTTTAGTGTTTTCTGTATATAGTATCATGTCATCTGCAAAAAGTGATAGTTTTACTTCTTCCTTTCCGATTTGGATGCCTTTTATTTCTTTTTCTTCTCTGATTGCTGTGGCCATTCTCATACTGTGTTGAATAAAAGTGGCTAGAGGGGGCATCCTTGTCTTGTTCCTGATCTTAGAGGAAAAGCTTTCAGCTTTTTGCCTTTGAGTAATGTTAGCTGAGTTTGTCATATATGGCCTTTATTATAGTGAGTTATGTTCCCATAGGGAGGAAGCTCTTTGACATTGGTCTTAGGAATACTTTTTTAGATCTGTCTCCTGAGCCTGGGGCAGAAAAGCAAAAATAAACAAGTGAGACTACATCAAGCTAAAAAGCTTTTGCATAGTGAAGGAAACCATCAACAAAATGAAAAGGCTACCTACTGAATGGGAGAAGATATTTGCAAATGATATATTCGATAAGGGGTTGATATCCAAAATATATAAAGAACTCCTACAACTCAATAAAAAAAAGCAATCCAATTAAAACATGGACAGAGGACCTGAATAGACATTTTTTCAACAAAGATATACAGATGGCCAATGGACACATGTAAAGATGCTCAACATCACTAATCATCAGGGAAATGCAAATCAAAACCACAATGAGATACCACCTCACACCTGTCAGAATGGCTGTTATCAAAAAGACAAGAAATAACAAGCATTGATGAGGATGTGGAAAAAAGGAAACCCTTGTGCACTGTTGGTGGCAATGTAAATTGGTACAACCACTATGGAAAACAGTATAGAGTTTCCTCAAAAAATTAAAAATAGAACTACTATCCAATCGAGCAATTCCACTTCTGGGTATTTATCCAAAGAAAATGAAAACACTAATTTGAGGAGATATATGCACCCCTATGTTCACTGCAGCATTATTTACAATAGCCAAGATATGGAAGCAAGCCAAGTGTCCATCGATAGATAAATGGATGAAGAACATGTGGTAAATATATGCAATGGAATATTACTCAGCCATTAAAAAGAATGAAATCTTACCATTTGCAACATGGATAGACCTGGGGGATATTGTGCTAAATGAAGTAAGTCAGACAGAAAAAGAAAAACACCATATGATTTCCCTAAAACAAAACAAATGAACAAACATAACAAAACAGAAATAGACTCATAGATACAAAGAATGTACTAGTGGCTGCCAGAGGGGAGGGAGGTGAGGGGAGGGGTGAAACAGGTGAAAGGAGTTGACAGGTCAAAACTTCCAGTTATAAAATAAACAAGTCACAGGGATATAATGAACAGGTTAGGAAATATAGTCAATAATATTGCAATCAGATTATATGGTGACAGATGGTAACTAGACTTATTGTGATGATAATTTCACAATGTATAAAAATATCAAATCACTATGTTGAACACCTGAAACAAATGTAATATTATTAGTCAATTATACTTCAATAAATAAAATAAAACATCAGATTCTGCCAGTCAACTGTGCATGTTATCTGTGTGTCCTCAACTTCTTGGAACCCCTCTACTTGTTTCAGTTACAACTTGGAACCAGGGTGGGCAGGTAATTCTAGCCACTTTGGTCTTAAATGGATACTAAGGTCTGCTGCAAGGACAAATAATTGACAAAGCCCTCAACTGATCCCAGGTTATATTCACAGTAGTCATTTGGGTGTGTAAAGAAAGTTCTGTGTACCATTAAGAACTAATTTCTGCCAATTAAATATAATGTTTGAATGTCTTAAGTATATTTGAATTGCATACCTGAATTTCTAAACAGGGAGTTTGATTCAGTTAATAGTTTCACATGTTGACATTTTCAAAGACTGTTACTTAATCTTAACCTAAAAAATTGTTTAAACTCTCAAAGTAGTATCAGGATTAGAACTTTAGTTGTGAATTTTCTTGACAGTTTTCCTGGCTACAGGAGGCCTCTATTTGGCCTTGAGGTTGTAAAATGTGTACGTATCAATATCAAGATTTTGTTGTATACTCCTTTCTTTCACCTGGTACAGTGTTCGGTAGAAAGTCATGATTTCATAAGTATTGGGACTGATTCTAGCTAAGTTAGAAGCGTGATGACTAAAGAAAGACAGCCCAGGACCACCATTGCCAGGTTTCAAATACTAGTCTTACTGTATGATCTAGCAATGCCATTCCTAGACAAATTAAAACACACTACCATTTAAAAACTTATACTCAAGTTTTGTAGTAGCTTTGTAGTACTCAAATATAGTCCCCCAAACCAGAAGAAACCCAAATGTTATGCTACTGGTAAATGGAGAAACAAAATGTGGTATACCCACGCAATGGAATGCCACTAAGCAATAACAAGGAAGAAACTAACAACACGGATGGATCTCAAATGCATTATACAAAGTCAAAGAAGCCCAACCAGAAATGTGACTTACTGTTGTGATTCTATTTAAATAGCATTCTGAAAAAGGCAAAACTGTGGTTACAGAAAGCATATCAGATGCCAGGGGTAGGGGAGGAGATTGACTGCAAAGGGGCAGAAAGTAACTTTTTGGAGTGATGGCAATATTCTTTATGATGATTGTGATGATGGATACACAATTACATATATTTCTCAAAACATCGATTTGTACACTTAAAATTGGTGAATTTTATTATATGTAAATTATACCTCAACAAATCTGATAAAAAGAGCTTGAGTGGCACTATTTATATCAGACAATGTAGACTTCACACTAAGGAGTATTAGTAGGGATACAGAGGCACATTTCATAATCATAAAAATTCATAAAGTGTCTGTAACAGTCCAACATGTTTATGTACCTAGGAACAAAGCTTCAAAATAGGCTGAAGCAAAATCAAGTGGTTTTAAAAGGAGAAATAGGCAAATCCACAATTATACTTGAAGATTTCAACACTCTTCTCTTAGTAATTGGTAGGATAGGTAAACAGAAAACCAGTAAGGGTGTAGATGAAATAACCATATCAACCAATTTGACCTAACCGACATTTATAAAATACTCAATCTAACAACAGTGGATGGAATACATTCTTTTCAAGTACAGATGGAACATTCACCAGGACAGACAACATTCTGGGCCATAAAGCTAGTCTTATAAATTTAAAAGGATTACAGTCATACAAGCTGTGTTCTCTTACTACTGTGAAATTTAACAAAAAATCAATAACAGATAGATATCTAAAATCCCTAAATATTTGGTAATTAAACAACACATTCTAAATAACCCATGGGTCTAACATCCCCACAGGAAAATTAGAAACTACTTTGAACTAAATGATAATGAAAATGTGACATATCAAAATTTGTGGGATGCAGGTAAAGCAGTGATTAGACTGAAATTTACAGTATTAAAATGCTTATATTAGGAATGTAGAAAGACCTAAAAACAACTATTTAACTTTCAACCTTAAGAAACTAGAAGAAGAACAAATTAAACTCAGCATGAGGAGAAAGGAGGAAATAAAGATAAGAGTAAAAATCAATGAAAGAGAAAATAAGCAAATAATAGATAAAATCTATGAAACCAGAAACTCTTTCTTTAAAACAGTTGATCAGTAAAATTGGCAAGCTCCCTAGCCAGACTGACTGAAACAAAAAAACAGATGACACAAATTTCCAAAGTTAGAAATGAAAGGGAGAAAAAAATCTTATGGATGTTAAAAGGGTCAGAGAACGTTATGAGCAAC